GCGGAAAGCGAGGGCGGAAAGCGAGGGCGGAAAGCGAGGGCGGAAAGCGAGGGCGGAAAGCGAGGGCAGGAGGCGAGGGCGGAGGCGAGGGCGGAAAGCGAGGGCGGAGGCGAGGGCGGGCCAGAGAGGAGAAAAGCAAAGCCCGAGGCAGGAGTTGTAATAGTTGCGGAGTGTGCGTAGGGAAATAGTTATTTAATTGCAGGCAGAGGGTGTCCAGGGAATGGTAGCTGTTGGCAATGTGGTGCCTGGGGAGACGCGGAGGGGCTGAGGACGAGGGTTGTCGTGTCGCGCCGCTTTTCCGCCGCGCTGAAGCGCGAGTGTGCAGCGAGGGGCTATTGCTGACGAGAATTAACGCCCGCGTAATATACGTAACTGAGCGGAATCAAAATGAATCAAATCATCTCAGACAGATACATCTAGTGAAGATGATGTAGGCTTTCGTAGGAAACGAGATTGTTCAGAAGAGACGTAAACACAGGGTGTTTCGTTCTGTTGTGAAGGAGAATGAATGTAGACTTTTCATTTTATATGTATTATATGATTTAACGCAAAAATGTAGACAACAGATGTGGCTATTCTCTTCAATTTTGTGTAGTTTGGCTCCTGATTTTTCTGCAGTGGGATGAGACATTACAAATAGAAGTTTACGATTTGAAATATAGTATCTCTATATTCGATGTTGTTTGGAGATAAAAAAAAAACACACTGCATTTTAATTATTGCAGCAGAAGGTTTCGAAAATTGCTGAATCGAATTTTACCCCTTGGCTAATGTGTATAAGCACGGGAATAAAGAGACGATAAAGTTTTGCAATCCATAATGGCTTCGGTGAATGAACTATGCAGCTCAGTTACTATTAGTTAAAAGTCCAGCAAACTACTTTGTTTCACGTTTATACCTGTTCTTGAACAGTTTTGTAGTTCCTTTAACAGCGATTCCGAAAACGGTTTCAAAACCTACACTATATTATTTCTAAGAACGAAATTCCTAATAAGTAGATACGTTGCTGTACAGAAATTGTATCTTAATTCGTATTACATAATAATTACTTACTTTCAAAAATCGAGAAACGAATGTTAGTTTCAACATGAACTAACGCATTATTTCAAAGCATCATTATAACTTCTCGTATGCTTACACTATCATACATTGTGAGATTCAGAAAGAAACGAAACATGATTTTGTTATGTTTTCATATGGAGAGACCGTAACCTACAAAACAGTTTACTATACATTTGTTTTGGGGGTGTAAGATTGTTCTTGTTCTTTATCTCTACAATGTTGCCTAGAAAAATCATAGAGTATAAGCAGTTCCTTCCGCAAAATGTACCTAATGAATGTTCAGCATAGTGTTTTCAAGTATTAAAGCGAAAGTCACGAGAATAATATTTGTGAGCAGTGAGAGTCTTCATAAATCATGCAGTCCTCTAGGTTCCGCTAGGAGACGGTATTCGAACACGCGTCAAGTCGCCATGGAAGAGAGACTTCATTATCGGTTGCTTCCAGAGTCGTGACTTTCATGAACCCCATTTTCACTTTTTCGCAGCAGCATTTCATAACTTTCTCTATACTACATGTATAGTATGTGAGAATGTAAAAATAGTAAGAGATTAATCCCTTTCAACCACTGACATATACTGCTCGTGTTCAAGGAGTAAGTTCTGAATGAAGAGCACAAGATTCACAGCGGTATCAAGCATCAGTTCAGAGAACTTCGGTTTAAAGAACTTGGTCTAATTGCTTAGTCTATCCGTTTTTACAACTGTAAAACTTTCATAAAAATCTATCATTTTTCAGAAAGTTGAGTGTCGATTAAGACATTTTGAAACCCTAAAGCGGCTAAGTTTCTCTCGCAATTGTATTCCTCTGAAAATCACACTGTCCGCACTTCTTGGAAGCTGATGATTGATTACAGAAAGTGGCTCATTATTTACGAAGGTACAAACTTCAATGTTTCATTATATTCCCTGATTAATAATGATCGTCTGGGGGAATGTTTGTTGACGTGTGAAGTGAACTCTATATCTGAACATTGATGAATTTTATATTTTGGTGAAAATAATCGATTACTTGTCTTGGGAAACTTTCAGTCAGTTCACATCGTTCGCGATGAATGCTCTGTTATAACGATTCGAGTGGTTTCTCGTTTCAACAATTTTCTCCACACATTTTCAAATAGAGAGTGAATATTTGTGACGTTCCCCTTCAATTTTTCTCATACTGTAGTGAAGATTTTCAAGCACGTGCATAATCTGCCATTAACTTCTCCGGCGATATTGTCGTTGACTGGCTGACAATAACAAAAACGGATTTAACAATTTTTACTTAACGACGACAACAGATTCTGGAGCAATACAATACAATACCTTGGAAAAAGTAATCATCCTAAAATAGAGCAAAGGAAAGTTAAAAACGTAATGTATATAGCAAAAAAAGCGCTCAAAATAATATATTACATGTAACCCTTTTCAAAATTTGATGCCCTTGGTTCGGCACGTGGCCCCGTGCTGTAAATTAGAGGACATACTCAACTGGTTGCTCCAGTTACCAATGCAATCCTCAGTTGTATAACCAGATCATGTGAGAAGAAAAAATGTTTTCAAAAGAATACACATTTTTACTTCTTTTAGAAAACGAAAAATACGCAACACAATTAATATTGACTTTCGGTATTATAAAACAAAAGTCAATTTAATATTACATTTGACAATCTAAAGCCGTTTGTCTTCATGCCTTAAATCTAATTAAGACAAACGACGCTAAACCCCACAAGCTCCCTCTCCTCCGCAAAGTAGATGCCCAAATATTCAATTTGCCATGAATACCCCAATTGAGTGCAAGTACTACGACATCTCTCAATGTTAACGCTCGAAACGGTAGGAAATCCATATGAGGCGATTGAGAAAGACTCATCCTGTATAACACCTAGTTCCGACAGCATCCGTCGCGGCTAGACGGTTTCTTCCTACGAAGGCCGCGCGGGGAGCTGGCTCTTGGTCACGTGCGTCGCCGGCGCGGCGGAGGGCAAGTCCGCGACGGAACGCGACGCCGCCGCCACCGCCACCGCCACCGCCGTCTCCACCACCCACTGCCGTCGCCAACCACCGCCACCGCCACCCGCACCGCCGGCCACGCGGCCGCCCCCGCCTCCGCCTCCGCCTCCGCCTTCCGCCTCCGCCTTCCGCCACCGCCACCGCCACCGCCACCGCCACCGCCACCCGCCACCGCCGCCACCGCCGCCGCCGCCGCCCGCCGCCGCCGCCGCCGCCACCGCTGCCGCCGCCAGCCGTCCGACACCACCGCCGACACCACGCCGCCACCGCCGACACCGCCACCCGCCACCGCCACCGCCACCGCCACCGCCACCGCCACCGCCGCCACCGCCACGTCGCCACCGCCACCGCCACCGCCGCCACCGCCACCGCCGCCACCGCCGCCCGCCCCCCGTCGCCGCCCCCGCCGCCGCTGCCGCCCCCTGGCAGCCGCCACCCCGCCCCCCTCCCCTCCTCCTGCCACTGCCAACCCCCCCGCCCCCTGCCCACCGCCGCCGCCACCGCCGCCACCAACGCACCGCCGCCACCGCCGCACCACCGCCACCGTGACCGCCGCCGCCACAAGGCGCACCACCCCGCCGCCGCTGCCGCCCCCCTGGTGCCGCCCCCCCCTCCTCCTGCCCCACGCCAACCCCCCCGACCCCTGCCCCGTCGCCTCCACCACCACCGCCGCCACCACCACCGCCGCCGCCGCCGCCCGCCGCCGCCGCTGACGACGGGTCGCGTCCCTTGACGCGGCTGTCGCCGCGCGCCGCGGCGACTGCAATGTCCACTCGACATGGCGCGCGTCCGTTGCGCCGGGTTACTGACCGCTTCGCGAGGGCGCAGGCGGTTCAAACGGCTCAAGCGGCTCCAGCTCGCGAGCTACGGCGACGGCCTGCGCCTCCCGTCGCTCTCTGCCGCACCGCGCGCGGCAGCTGTCACTCCGCTCGATTTTCTTTTTTTCTCTCTCTCTTCTTTTTTATTTGCGTGATTAATCGATTCGGAGTAACGATAGCTTCGGTCATTTCTGACCAACGGTCGTTTTCACTGGGTGGACATGGCGTTGGCATTGGAGCCCGTCATCGCACAGTTTCATCTCGGTTTTATGGCATACTCGCTGCCCTTAATTCAGAATAGACCTTCAGCTGGTGCCACAGCACTGGTTCAACTTCCGGAAATCGTGGAACGGGAGTCGGGACATTCAATAGCAATGCTGTAAATGTTACAGTAAAAACAAGACAATTACATTAAAGTGGGCAATTACTTACTTCCAGTCATACGTTTTATGTACTCTCAGTGACTACCTATGATTGTAATACACTTCTCACACGACATAAAAGTGACTCGACACACTATAATTCGAACGCATTTTATTCTGACGTAGTAAAAGTAAAGTTAGATATCCATTCAATTTAGGACCAATCTGATGTTTTAATCACGTTAAAGAGCCTAACGTAGTCTCATGTCAGATGTTTAGATCAGAGAAATGATGTGACGTAAAATAGTGATGGATATATGGAGAAATAATTGTACAAACAGCACTTATCTAGATCTCCACAATCCCTACTTCCACCCTTTCACATTATTTTAAGTTGAATTGTGAATAATTTAACACTGGGAGCGAATATTTCTTGTCAACAAATTTAGTCAAAAACTATTAGACACCTTTTTTATCGGCAAATCCGCAATCAATTTTGACGGTTTATCTTTTATCGTACTCCATGCGAAGAATTCAACGCACTACCGCGAGATTATGAACAATAATTTTGTGACAGTCGGCAAATATCAGAAAACATGAATTGTCGGCTTTTTCCATGGGTACAGAAACTGCCTCTGTGTAATATATCGACAGTGTGCGGAGCACTCTTCGTTGAGAGGATGATCTATGGGGTCGTAAATCAAGAGTTTCGTTTCTGGATACGAAAGTCGAGAAGTGCTGAAAAGCCTCTCTTCCAAGCACCTCCTAATAATGACTGCAATAGTATATTTCAAAAAGAAGGAGGCTCGGACATATGTAATCAAGTATTCGTAATAGAAGTTATACTAAAATAAAATTGAGCGACGTTTTAAGAAACATATTAAAAAATACATTCATTAATACTTTATTTTCGTTAAATAGTTATTTATGGTGCACGTGGTAAAAGTTTAATTTTATTTTGGAAATGGAAAATGTTGCGTCCCAAGACTGATAGACTGAGTGGCGCAATCTTACATACAAAATATAATAATATTAACATTACAAAATGTAATCAAATTCACGCGTGTCATTGACTATTTTCTTAGGCCGCCTTCCTTTCTTTTCATTTTTTTATATACAGATCACGTAAGAGGGTACTATAATACATATAGGTCAGTTGTAACTTATGCGCTCACAGGAAAATATATTGTTTCCTTCCTTGCATTCACAGCTTTATCTGAATACTTGATCATTCTCACTTTCGGCACTAGTGATAAAAACTGAAGTTTTAACACTAAAAGGAACCGTTTTTACTAGTGTCTATCTCGTTTATTCTTTAGCCAAAACTGTTTTTGTCATACGGCTCTCCTTCCATGTATCTTCACAGCTATTAATTACAGTTGTGTATCGAATATTCGTACAGACATTAAATGTGTAACAGTAAAAATTCACACAGTGAAGAACAAAAAGTATAGCATGTCTACACTTTCAGGTCATTCTGACAAAAAATTGATTAATTTATGATATTTCCCAAAACAAATGACCATAAAAAATAACATTGAAATAGTATTTAACATACATGTTGCCGTAGCACTAAAAGGATCTTAAAATTTTCAAAGGCAAATAATTTCATGGAAAAACCAAATTAAGAAATATCAAAAAAACCAAAGGAATATTATATATAGTATATACTCGTATATAGTATATACTCGTATATAGTGCGAAAGCATTTGATTCCAAAGGGTTCTAGACGACCTCGTGCGTTGGTCTTAATGCCCCGAATAAAAGAGAAAACACGCCGCTCGTACGGGAAGAGAACATGCAAAGGATTCTGCCACTCGACGGCGCCGTGATCGACGGATGGCAGACGCACATGCCACAGGCATTCGTGGAGGGGGGCGCGCCCTGTGACTTGGCAGATGGGACGCGCATCGCGAATTCGCTTCTCGGGGGAAGCCAGTCGGAAGCGTTTTCCGATCCGCCGGCCTACTGCTTGGCGGAGTGGTGACATGGAAATGAGCGAGATCGGCAGCCAGGATCCGCTTGCATTCGTCATGGCGAGCGCGGGAACCCGACCTGTATGGCGTCGCTCCAGTGCTAACGAACGGTGTTAGTTCGTTATTGAATTGAATCGTTTATTTCAGAAACCCGTCAACCGCCAAATTCCTCATTTCGAGAAAACTAAGAAAAATGTGTCCTAGCGTCGTAGGTTTGTTTTTTTCCAAATTCAAAATATATTTTCGATATTAAAGCAGTTGATAAATGAGTAGTTTTCATGTAAATATTTTTTTTTTCACTGATATCATTTTATTTTTTTTGGAAAACGTTTAAAGTCGTACACTTGATGGGTTTCTGCAATAAATGACCTGTTTCGATTTGTAATATCACTTTTTGCAAGTATTAATCACTTGTAATGAAATTGTGAGTGTTACTATTTATTGTTTATTACATTAGACGACGTCGCTTGACGGGTTTTTGTCCTAAACCCGAATATTTAGGGTCTGTCACTACATTGCACGAGTTTCAAATAGATGTTTTCTGCACTAAACGATGTGTTTATCCTCATAGAACAATATCATGTTGCTAACCCGTTTTTAAATTTTTTGGCGTTTGACGGGTTTCGATAATAACCATTTTTATCCTCCGTATTCCCTGGGAGGAAACGTCGAAACTTCTCAAATAGCTCTTTAGTCACTTTTAAGCATATTTTGTCTAATAAACTACTCGGGTATTCCGAACGGCTAAGCCGCTATGGGCACTCAAAAGTTCTTTCGAAAAAATGTTTTCTAGACAAAAATTTGCACTTCAAAAGCATAGAAACACCTTAGAAACACGCAAATTGTTTATTATTTACAAAAGAAATGAATATATATTTGTTGAAAAAGAAAAATTAACCAAGAAATAAAATATAAGTCGTAATGTGTAAATTTGGTACTTATTTCTGTGTTAATTTTTCTTTTTGAACAAATATATTAACTTATTTTGCAATAATAAACAATTTACATGTTTATAAAGTGTTTTTATGCTTTTTAATACAAATTTTGCCTAGAAAACATTTTTTCCAACCAACTTTTGAGTGCTTAGTGCTCAACCATTCGAAATATTCAAGAAGTGTATTACAGAAAATATGCTTAAAATTATCTTAAGAGCTTACTTACGACGTCTTGACGTTTCCTCCGCAGCCACCCAGTATAATATATGACTAACAGTTCAAATATAAGTAAAACAGTTCATTATGTTATAATATCTCAAGGAAAGATTTGAATCGTATACGATATACGTTTTTGTATCATTTTGTTAGGCACTGTTTTTACTCATACAACGGATGCTAATGGTATGTAAATGTATGTAGTCGCTAACGACCAGACCTATCAATCCGGCTTAAATTAATAAATTTAAAGAAGAAGATATTTGTTTCTTGCCGAACTTTCTTTGGAGTTGAAGGTCTCACCACAAAAGGTTATTTTAAGTTATCACTTCTCGAGCACTTATGTCTTTGGATTTAATTGAAACGTATTTGTGAAGTTTACAAAACCATCTACTATGCAGACCAGTAAAATAGATTGTTTGGAAAGCTTACCACATTGTCACTCATAATATTCAGTGACTATAAACAATCGCGCAAAATACAGGTGTTATAGTTTAATGTTGCCGTCAGCTGTCAGCCCAATTTATATTGCAAGGGAGATTATATGAGCATTTGAAAGGAATTGTTTGTTTTTAGCAATATCCTCTCAGAATGGTTTTATTTCACGACTCGACAGAAGTACACCTGCTAATCTTTAGCTTTTTGCCATCTAAGTACAATTATCTGTCTTCAGGGTGTGATTGGTTATGTACGTTTATGCCTACAAATCCCTCGTGAGTTATGTATGCATGTATCACAAATTGCTTGTTTCTTTGATACTTGGTATCAGGGCAGTGATGTCTAATCGAGCGGATGTAAACTGTAACAATATATTCAGTAAAGATGTGGTTTCCCCTGACCTAGTTTAAAATGCCTGAAACTACGACTAAAAAGTGTTTTTCATGCAAAATAATATACACGACCCGGGCTACTGTTCAACGAATAAAAGGATGGAATTGATCTTTAATTGTAACACAGCGTTGCCTTTAATTACATTACTTTTTCATGCCTGCGGATTCTACATAAAACATTAGTACATGAATATTCCATCTCCTCTTTGAAAAGTACCCACAGAAAACAATCACTCTTGTGGTTGACCATGGAAGATGTTCTATGAAATACCAAAAGACATACGAACTATTAAGTGCATTATTCGCGATTCTCTTTCGTCTTCATTCATCTAACAGGGTTCCATTGACATATCAACGATCGACAGAGAGATCCTTTGTGTACACATATGAAAACCTGTAATAATGGAAAAAATCTTCTTTGAAGAGCCAAGTGTCCTTTAATCTACTCGCACAGTAAATAGAATATGCTAGCAGCGCTTCGGACACACGCGTAGCAATGACGCAAGCACAGGGAAGCAATGCACTGCTCCAGGCACGTCGACGTATCGATTATATTCGCTGGCCGATGTGCAAGGA